CTGGTCGGTCTGTCCCAGGACAGAGCTGCGACAAAGATGCAGAGAGCTAGTGCGCCGCAGTGGCCGAGGTGGCAAGTGGGTAGCCGCTGGCAAAAGTCCGTGGCTTTAGGGTATTACTACAAAGAGCGGCATTCCTGTAGACTCCCATTTCAACTATCCCCGAAACGGTACCCTGAAAGACACACAGTTTTCCCCCACATCTTTGTGTGGGGTTCTTACTTTTACCGCTGCGTCCGCCGTCCGCCGCCCCGCCGTCCACCGTCCGCCGTCCGCCCGCCCCGCCGCCCACTCACTCACTCATTCACTCACTCACACAGTGTGTTTGTGTGGCCGGGCGCGCGAAATCGTGCCATAGGTAGCACTTTGGAGATGGCATTGCCGAAATCGTGGCAGGCGCAGCAGTCTGTGCATCAGGGCGCATATTTTGTGGCAGGGGCAGCATTTGGCAGCTGTCTAAATGTCGCGCGCGCGGCTCGGTGTGCGCGAAAACGTGGTAGGCGTAGCACTTTGGAGATGGCATTGCCGAAATCGTGGCAGGCGCAGCATTCTGTGCATCAGGGCGCATATTTTGTGGCAGGGGCAGCATTTGGCAGCTGTCTAAATGTCGCGCGCGCGGCTCGGTGCGCGCGAAAACGTGGTAGGCGTAGCACTTTGGAGATGCCATTGCCGAGAGCGTGGCAGGCGCAGCATTCTGTGCATCTGGGCGTATTCTCTGTGGCAGGGGCGGCATTTGGCAGCTGTCTAGAGGGACAGGATGTTGTCGCGCGCGCAGCTCGGGGCGCACGAAATCGTGGCAGGCGCAGTCTTTTGGGGATGCCGTTGCCGAAATCGTGGCAGGCGCAGCATTCTGTGCATCTGGGCGTGTGTTTGTGTGCCCACTCACTCATTCACTCAGTCACTCAGTCAGTCAGTCACTCACTCGCTCAGTCACTCCCCAGTCAGTCAGTGAGTCAGTGAGTCAGTGAGGTCAGTCAGTGAGTCAGTCAGTCACTCACTCAGTGTGTTCGTGTGGCCGGGGAAGCATTTGGCAGCTGTCTAAAGGCGTATTTGCAGGGCAGCGTTTGGCAGCTGACTAAAGGGACAGGATGTTGTCGCGCGCGTGGCTCGGGGCGAGCGACATCGTGGCAAGCACAGCACTTTGGAGATGCTGTTGCCGAAAACGTGGCAGGCGCATCATTTTGTGGATCTGGGCGTGTGTTTCTGTGGCAGGGGCAGAATTTGGCAGCTGTGTAAAGGGACAGGGTGTTCTCGTGCGCGCGGCTCGGGACTCGCTCACTCATTCACTTACTCACTCACTCACTCATTCACTCATTCACTCATTGCCTCATTCGCTTATTCACTCATTCTTCACTCATTCACTCATTCACTCATTCACTCATTCACTCATTCACTCATTCACTCATTCACTCATTCACTCATTCACTCATTCACTCATTCACTCACTCACTCACTCACTCAGTCACACTCACACACTCACTCACGCGCTTCTTAATAAGCATAGACATGTAGGGTTATCCGGTCCTTCAATTCATTTTGCTTTCACTGCACGCGGGCTAAAGCAAAACCACTCCAGATGAGGCCAAAGAAAGATGTACGTATTAAAATTGGCAGGGGAAGCACGTTCAGGAACCTGGTGACCTTCCCTCCAATCATAGAAGCTGACAGGAGGTTTTTGGGTTGGTTTCCACAAGGTGCTACAACTGCTTGGTTTTCCCCAATCAAAAGCGACCGAAGAAAAGGACCAACCTTATCCTGGGCATTTCTGGATATTTCGGGTATTTCCCCCGAAGCTGAGCCGCTTCTCGCGAGACCGGGGCCCGTGTCTCGAGCTCTCAGTTGTGGAAGTCCTGCGCCAGGCCTTGCACCTGGCACTCCACGCCCGAAGAAAACCACCCCAGCGAGCGTTTCCCTAGGAGTTGCTCCGGTTTGAAAAGGGAAGAAAGAAGCAAAAGAAGAAGAAAAAAAAAAAAGAAGAAGAAGAAGACAAAGAAGAAGAAGAAGAAGAAGAAGAAGAAGAAGAAGAAGAAGAAAAACTGTGCAGGCTGCTGTGGCATATCTTTTGCTCGTTGCGGGCCGCTTATGACGGAAGCCCGGTCAGGCCACGTGAGCTTGTCTTGGCACATTGCCCTTCCCTCCAGCAACTTCTGAGGGCTGCACTCCGGTGGCGGTGTAGCGCCTGAAAGAACGCAAAGCAACTGGAAGCAAAGCCAAACGAGCTACCGATGTGCAAACAGTGTCCGCGCTTTATCCAGGTGTTTGGCTATCTAACGGTGTTGTCTGAGGCACTTTAGCCAGTTGAACTCTTGGGGTCTTAGGCATCAACTGACGCAAACTTTGCCAACACAGGGCACAGTAATTTCGCACATGAACCAAACTCCCTCAACAGTCATTGAAGCCTGGATCAGTCCTGCGACAGCGAGCAAGGATGACAGGAAAACTAGCTAAGGATGGGGGTTTTTATAGAGGCCGTTTGCGCACCTTTCTTTCTCGGCACTCAGTCGCCACATGTTCTCAAGTTTGCTATCAAAACACGCCACTCAGCAAGGCCCTGAAGCTGTCACTTGCTAGGAACACAACTCTCGGGGCCTACTAAATTAGCCGGCTTTGACCCTTGGAAACTAACATGCATGGGCATCTCACTGATCTCGCTCTGAAGGTCTCAAGGCCAGTTTCTGGGTGCATGTCTGTGGCAAGTGCCTGGTTGACCCCCAAAACAACCGCTGGTGCGTCGCTGCCAAAAGTGCGCCGCTGGCCTGTAGCCGGTGCTGTTGATGAGCGAGTCGGCCTCCGGCGGCCCGCGGGTGCCCTGTGCCTGCGAGGCTGTCAGCGGTCAATGATTTGCCCTTCAAATTGCGTCGCCGGGTTTCAGGGAAACTGCCACTTCTTGGATGAGGAAAGCCTGGGAGCTCCGTAGTGAGGGGTGATTGCCCAAGCCAGCGTTCAAGTGAAGGTGGCCCACCCACTGCAAAATGTTGACTTGGACATTTCCTTGTTTGGACAAGCAACGCTAGCACCCTTTCTGGACAAGCAACAAGCGACGCTGACAACAAATTTCGGCTAGCCAGGTTGCCATTCCACCCATCTAAATCAAAACACTGGGCGAAGCATTGTAGCCACCCTGTCGTGCTTCACATGCAGTGGCATTGTGGTGGTTGGCCTGAACCCTGTTGGAGGGGCACCCATCCCTTCAAGACATGAACAAATTGGGGCAAGTTGTGGGGTCAATGAGGCTCTGCACCTCCCGCAGCCAGTTTGGGGCGGCGACGTACGGGAATGGATCAGGCGCATTCCGTGACTCAAGACCTCGGCCAAAGCCAAAAACGGATGTGTCGACAGGGTCAAGCCTACACTCCTGCAAATTCATATGGGACCAAACGGATCCAGAAAAAAGCTCCCTAAAAAGATATTCCCGTAAAAACGAAGGTATATCGGCTTCCACTCAAATCTGCCTGAGTGCAGTGCAAGGAGGTACAGCTATCACAACTTGAATGCGATCCGCTCAAAGAGGGCGCAAAAGCGTGCAAAGGCACTGCTTCATGCCGAACAGGACATGCAAATCCTGTGAAGTTTTGCTGTATGAGTCGCAGTCGGTAAAGTGAAACAGTTGAGATCAACGGGGGCAGGACAAACACACCCGGGCAGCTGCCCCAAGAACAGGAAGTAAGTTGATTGTGCGTAACTGTCACTGCTGAACATATCGTCAATCAACGGCCAAAGGAAAAACTCTAGACATTGGATGCACGAGCTTCCTGGCATCACGCTGTGCCAGAGGCCTTGAAGCCAGCCCCCAAACCCAAGCTGTGTGTGTGCGCACTGCACCTCACCTCATGCACTCTTTCCCCCTTGAAGCCCATATGCAGTTGTCTCAACATTTTCAACACGGATGGTTTCGTGGATTCACTTCTAAACCATCCCAAAAGTGACATCAAAAGACACGCCCACACATACAAATCCATGTGAACAAGCAGTGCGCTCCTGCAACCAAAACGAGCAAGGTGCCGCTTGTCCGACATATCTCAGGCATCCTCAAGGGGAGCAAAATTTGACACATGCCTTCCTTTTCGAGTTACGGTGGCACACCAGAGATCTGCGTGCCCTGCTTTTCAGAAGTGGGTCAAAGATGCGCCATCCCTCTTCGACCTGCGCGTGTTTGCCGATGCAAACGCCGAACATCGGTACACAACCAGCTTTTCACCTGCCACGCCTGGGGGAACCTCCATATCGAACAGGGCTTCCTTGCTATGCCTTCGGGAAAAACACTTGACCCGTTGCAAAGCTAAGATGAAGGCAGCAACTCATTTCCGATCCGCACTTCCCTGTTGCTTGTAAAAGGCATCTGCTGTCGAGGCAAGCTTCTGCATGTCAGCGCTCCAAAGGGAGCGCAGCGGCCTAAATGGAGTTGCGCCGAGTCTCAGCAAGACGCCATTTCATTTGAGCTCTGACATTCATGCGACTCATGCTATGGATGCGACTCATACCCGCGCTAAGATATCAATCAGCATCAAGCAATGCGTGTCATGTCGGCAACCGTGCATACCGCGTGTGCAGAAGCCTGGAAATGGGTCACTGTCTCCCATGGGTGGTATGTACAAAAGGCTTCTGACACTGCGAGCCCTGCCATTGCTTGGGCGCTCGGCTAGAGGAAGCTTTCAATGGCTAGACACGAGACCGCATCCCAGCGCTTCTACTTGAACTGAAGCTCTTCTTTGGGGCTGATGTTGACCTTGGCGTCCAAAAGAACCTTGCGTTTATTAATCGGGGGTTGCCTTGCAAGCGCACGTCCCTACATAACAGGACCCCCGTTCCCAAAATTACACTTCGCAGATCATGCTTCAGGTCAACCTTAGGGTCTTGCGCTTTGCGCAACGGCTCGCGTTTCAGCAAATGTCGCCGATGTCGCCGGCTGAGATGACCGAGATGAGTTTGCATGAAGGCCGAAACTCTTTGCCACCAATACTGGTGCAAGGTCCAGCCATGCTGCGTGCATCCGCTCAGCCAGATCAGGTGAAGTTCACATTCTGCCTTGCCTCCGGCTGAAAACGGGCATGCACCTCCCGTGCCGCTTGAAGCACACGGTGCAGTCGAAACAGCTGCCTGGGCGACCGTGGGCAGAGCAAATCGAGAAAATCTGCAACTTATGGAGCAACTCATATAAATCTACACCATTTCTATCCCCTCCTGCCCGCCATGTTTTGCTGCTCTTGGCCCAGTCGCACTGCCCAGTCAAGCCACGGCTGACTTTGTGCCTATGAAGGAGTGACGTCACAGATCTATGCTTTGGCGTTAGCAAGCTTTCGATTCTCTCTGAGTCCGGTGGGGCCTGGGAAACCCTTCAGCCCAGCCCAAAAATCTCAACAGTGGAAGTTCCACGCAAGGCACAGCCCGGAGGAACCAGCCGGTTGAGCAACAAAAGGCCGCCCCAATCTTGACACGATTCGCTCCAATTGGCTCTTTCGTTTTGTAAACAGTTGTTCTGCAGCAACTTGCCCCTTGGGCCTCACCAAGCTCTCCTCACCAAGCCCGCATGCATCCTGGGCGCATCATCCGTGTGCCAAGCCTCGCTTGTCCAAATGAAAAGTTCAATCTTTGAGGTCACGACCAGGTTGAAACCCAAAACACAACAGAAACACTATGGTAAGGACGGATCCTGACAAAACCAGGTGTTTACGGAAATAACACCCAACCGTGGACCACCGCCAACACATACACACAAATCAGGAAGAGAAAAGAGGCACCAACAGGTTCCAGGGGCTGTCTCTCGAAGGACACCTCAGGAAGTAGATGTATGGCTTTCCTCTTAAACAATCAAATAGTTCTCGATTGTGAGACGTGCTCAGGGGTTCACTGGAACATGGCCAACCACGACGTGCGAAATACACAACAGAACCCAAAGGTCCAAAGCTAAAGAAAACCCATACAGCGATGGTATGAACAAGCACTGAAGCAAACATACTCCCAGACACATCCCAAGATTGCCACAAGTTGGCAAGATGAGTGAACTGTTTGGGGACCCGACCTCCGCAATTGGCTGACGCGTGTTTCCTTCTGCCAAGTAGCTGCTCAGTGGGCTGCTGGCGCACATCAGCGCGGGCCTCCAGGAGGTGCTGCACCAAGTGGAAGTGGCCCTGGCGACTGGTGGCATCTGTTTTTGCTCGGCAATCACCGCGCGCCAGCCGGTGGGAGGAGACTGACATCTCACGAAGGCAAGGAAAGACACAGCGGCAGCCTGGAAAAGGTAATGGCAAGTGACGAGTGGCAGTCGAAGAACAAGCAGGACGAAAATGAACAAGAAAGTGGCGACAAGGAGTGCGCTGACGAATCAAGCAATGATTCACATGCCATCTGTCTCCTGCCTGGCCAGCGGCGATTTTTAATGGTGTGGCACTGGAGCGAGCGGCCTCAGATGGAAATGGCTCTGATGTACTTTCATCCATGGTTGGCATGGTGTCAACAAGGCTCCAAGCGGCAAAATGGAAGCACCAAACACCAAGCCTGTAGCAAAATGGAAGCCAACCCACCAACCATCTCAGCAGCCCTTTACCGGAGTGCTTCGCCTACGAGCCAAACCTATAACAGCTTCGCAAAGACCAGTCAATAGAATATCACACAGTGTTGCAAAGATAACTACCAAAGACCAGCCATGTTACCAGGAAGCACCCACACATTGCCAGCTCCATTACTCGGGCATGCTTGCTTCTAACTCCCAGATTGCCTACTCCCGCGCCTGCCTTGTCCACCATCACCCGGTTCTCCAGCAAGAGCCGTACAGCTGGGAGCTGCTCACTGGCAGTGGCCAAACACAAAGGCGTTTGGCCGTCCACTGTGGTGCTGTTCAGGTCCGCGTTCCCCTCCACCAGCGCACACATCACCTCCAAGTGTCCATTAGAGGCCTCAGCTTTTGGCGGTCGATGGAACCTGGAGAACCTGATTTTATAGCCATCTTATCTTCAACTTTGCGCGTCGATAAGTCATAGCCTGTCAGGGCCGTTGCAACGTGGGGTGGTGAAAGGTTCCAGCCACCCTATACATAGCCCGAGCCTTCCAGCACATTTCAAGTGAGTTGGGGCTGGGGGTGCTGCCCAGGGACAGCGGCTCCGGGGAAACTGACCTTCCCTGGCGAGGAAGGGTAGCACTACAAGTTTTTCTCCGTCCCCATTAGTTTTCTCTCTGGGTCCGCCGGCTCGGCTCAATGCCTGAGCCAAACTCATCATGAAGTTTCTGCTTCAACCACTGGCACTTGGCCAAGCCTGAGGTATCCCAAATTCTTTGCCTTCTTTGTGTGAGCAACTCGCAGAAACGAAACCAAGTGCAGGAAATAAAGGCAGGTTGCTCCAGTGTACGTTTTGTCATTGACAAGTTTGGCCCAAAAGGGCAGCTTTGATAATCCCTAAGCTTGGCGGGCCAGGTGCTGCCACACTGATCGCCCGCTTGCCGCACTTGGTCTCAGTCTCAATGTCCGCATTGCAGGAGATGAGAAACCTGTTCCGTGATCAGCATTTTCGAAGGTCTTCCAGGTCAGGGGTTAGGGACGTGGAACCAATGGACGGCAGAAAACATGTGCTTCATGAGCACCTTCACTCCCGCGAGCAAGTCGGACAACCACACCACAAGCTTTGTCCACTTTCGACTTGCGCTTCTTTTTGCGCTTTGGGGCAGCTTCTAAAGTAAACGTGCCAAACTAGCCATCCAACTGGCCAACGTGTCAAACTAAGGAAGTTTCCACTTTTCGGGACAGTTTGGGACTTCGGCGTTGCCCCCCGGTTTTACGGCCTTTGTGGATGGTTGACACCGGCACCTCTTCCATTTCGACAGCTCCAGCCTTACCACATGTGCGAAGCCGTTCTCCGCCGCCGCGAAAAGTGGGGTCTTGTGGTTCCTGAAGCATCCGAGCGTGGGTTTGTGTCAATAATTGGTGAGCCCCTGAAATTGGTGGTTTCCCCTTGTCCTCCCGTAAAAAAGCAATTTAAAAACAAATGTGCGCATTGCCCAGGGCCGCTAAACCAGACATCGGCGTAGGTGTCTTGAGGACTGGGCGCGCCTGAAACAAATGCCCCGTGGGCTTCAATCGTGCGTGTACGGTCCCCAACGTGTGCGGTGTGTGTGTGTGTGGCGGGTGCGCACGTCTGCGTGTGCAGGCGGCCACGGTTGAACGTGCGAGAACGTGAGGGGGTCGCTAACAGCTCCGTTAGCCAAAGGAAGCAACCTCAAAGAAACAACACACTCTATGAAAGCAGTAGGGAAGTGGGGGGGGATACCCTCACGCGAATGATTCTGCGTGGCCAGCTTGAAGCCCTGCCCAACTCAAACTTATGGAAACATTTGACAGGTCCTCCAAATTGGATCTTATGGGAACCAGCAGCTTGCGATATCAACACGCACAGACACAACACAAGTGGTCGAGGACAGCGCGCAGGAGACGTGCGTCATCCGGGCACGCATCTGGGCCACACACTCAGCGTGGTAGATGTGACGACAGCCGGGCCGACATGCACCGTCCTCACCGACGCCACAAGGAAGCACGGGGTCCGGGCCGGGCAGTTTTTCCCCGGCGGGTCGATGGGGAGTCCTGGTGAGACTTTCCCCGCTGGGCGCTTGGCAGCTGGCGCCGGGGACAGGGGACGATGAGCGCACAGAACGAAGGGAGGCCAGGCGAAGAAGGCACGGACAAAGGGAGGCAGCACCCACGCTCATCATTTACCAATTTCAGGGGGCTGAAGTAAGCAAAACACGCACATCAATGTGTGTGTTCAATAAATTACACCTGCAAAGGCCCCAAATAGCGCACAAACAGGTCGCGGATTGCACACTTCAGGGCAAAGTTCTACGCCATACGCCTTCCACACAACCAACGCCAACCAATTAACAAACCAATGTTCACACGCACACACACACACACACACACACACTTGGACACCCGAACGCGCTCCCTCTGAGAAACAATGCAAACGCAGCTAACCAACAACTCAACCACCAACAGATCAAGGCAAAAGGCAAACCAAAAATCACAGAAACTCCAAACCAAGCCTTGCCAGATTGCTGCCGTGTCGAAGTTGCAAATTCGAAATGCAAAGGTTTGCTGGGCTGGCTACGCGGTTGGCTACTCAAGGCGTAGGGCGATAAAAGTCGGCAGCGTCAGAATGATGCACGTAGCAGCACGATACCGCCGAAACCACCATGATGATAAAAACAGCGCCGTGATGATGTAGGCAGCACCATGAGCATGATGATGAGAACGCGATGATGAGACTGCTTCTAAACACTCCGACAGCATCACTGTGTTGTAGTCAGCATCTTTTATGACGCAGGTAGCATCATGAAAATGAACGCAGCATCATACATCCTAGCCGTCATGATCATGCCGATAGCATCAGAATGATGTAAACAAGATCAAAGTGATGCAGGCAGAAGCATGACGACTCCAAAAACATCCTTTTGATACGGCAGCGTCATGATGATGTAGGCAGCAGCACGAGCACGCCGAAAACATCATAGCGCTGCCACAGGCTACTGATGTAACGCAGCACCAAGCCAAGTTTAGATCTTGGAGACTTGCTGCCCGCCACATCATCATGCTACTGGTAGTAACAACGTGATCTTTCCGGTGTCGTCATGCTGCTGGCTGTGTCATTGGCCGGCGTCAGTGCTGCTGTCTGGGTCGCCATGATGCTGCCAACAACTCCGTGATGTTTTTTTTTTTTAATCATTTTTTTTCCGGCGTCATCATGCTGCGGCGTTTTCATGTTGCCGGCTGCATTGTTTTAGCTGCTTCATGCGTTCAGACGGCCGCTTGCATCATCATGATGGTTTCGGCGTCACGATGCTGCCTGCATCATTTAATGCTGACGGCCTGATGATCCTGCGGCCTACATCGTCACAATGCCGTCTTCATCATCATCATGGTGCCTGTATGATTACGCTGCTGTTGGCATCATTGTGGTGCTGCCGGCACGACCAGATGTTGCCTGCTTGATCATGGTGCTGCCTCAATCATCATGATGCTGCGGGTCAGCAGCAGCAGAGGAGGCGAACAAGATGCCAACTACGTCCCCCCCCACTGCCCCATCACACCCCAGACTCTGACCAGCACCCCAAACTGCATGCCCCCTAGCACCCGGCCGGCGATATTGTCAAACACGTGCCCCCGTCACCAGCCCCTGAAACAGCGCCTGCGCCTGCACCCCAAACCTGTCGATCTCGCAAACATGCGCCCACACCCTCGCCACAGCCCCAAACAGCAACTGCGCCAGCGCCCCAAACTGCATGTGTCCTGGCAATCGAACTTGAAAAAAAACGCACCCCGACTGCACTAGCACCTCAAGCACTAGCGCCTCAAGCACCCCAGACTGCATGCCCCCTAGCACCAAGCCGTCGATCTCGGAAAAATACGCCACCGCCGTCGCCGCCCCGCAAACAGCTCCTGCAACAGCACCCTAGCCATCGATCTCCAAAAAAATGCCCCCCTCACCGTCACCAGTCCCTCAAACAACACCTGTGCCAGCACCCCAAACCGCATGCCCCCTAGCATGCGGCCTTCTTCAATCTCGCAAATCACTTTCCCCTCTGTATCAGAAGTTAGAGCCCCTATAGCTTTCAGCTATCTGGGAAACAACAGCGTACATGGACCTTTGCCTGGGATAGCCATTTGGCTGAGCCAAAAAACGCGGCTTGGGGCGAAGGCGCATGGACGGCAGGTGCAGGTCCGCCGCCCGGTCCAGCAGGAACTGCACCGCCTGTAGCTGCCCGTGCCGGGCCGCCATGTGCAGCGGCGTGACCCCGACCTGAACAAGGCACCGCCAGAAGAACACGGGGGCACATACCCACCCCCCCGGTCACGGACACTTAGCCTTTGCAGACTGAAACCCTAAAGAAGCAAGACACCAAAAAAGGAGGCTGCAAAACATCCACCATACGCACTACCCGCCCCCCCAGCCAAACAAAACTAACGAGTAGTACCTGGGAAGGGCAAAACAACAAACACTCTACAAATATCCTCGACAAACATGGACAAGAGCGGCGCGCGGCGCACGTCGCGCCTTTTTGTGGCGAGCATCGCGAGAGCCCTTCGGTACTCTCGGTGAACGTCACCCCGCCAAGCAGGCATTCATTTACTTAACGTGGCGACTAGATTTCTAGCCCCTGTTTTGTCTTTTTTCCAAGGGATGCAGTGGAAAAGCTTATGTCCGTGTCCCCAAAATAACGAACATCGGCACAAGCGCTCGGTTTGCCGCGAGGTGCGAGGGTGGTGATGTCGATGGGGCAGCTCGCCTTCAGCAGCGCCTCCGTCCATGGAAAATGATGATCACTTTTAGGCCGATTCCCTTGGATATCACAAGCCCTAAAAACTCTGCTTCCTTCCCACCATGCCTCTGCCACCTTCACCCGGCCCTTCTGCGCCGCCACATGCAGCGCCGTGGCACCCCCTGCGTGCATGGGGCGAGGGCTCCCAAGGGTCTGTAGCAAAATTGGCTTTGAACCTGCTTTGGCGTTGAAGGGAAGGCAAACACCAACCAACTGGAGGAAATGGTCCCCAATTTTGAGAAACAGTGGTGTTTGGGTCGGTTGGGGGGGCCATTGGGTTGAGGAGCCGGTGAAGCCTCATTTGTTACCGGCCCCTGTGGAAGGTTGAAGGGACACCACCCAGGAACTCTCTGATCGTACGAAGGCAATAAGGGAGAAATACGGCCTTTCGACTTCTGAGACCAGTCGTGAACGATATCTACAGTTTGTTGACCGGACACATGCTTCTTTGCGTGCTTAACCCTCAAAGCATACCAGTGACCCAAGGAAACACATGCACATTTGCGCGTCTTTTGATCCTTTTTTGGGATGGTTTTGAAGGAATGCATCATGCCTAATGGAAACAATCCTACTTCTGTGAGTATCTGCACGCCAACCGTGCAGCAAACGCGGAGCCCGCCTTGCATGGGCTTGTCCCGCAAGGCCCCGCGTTTGAGCAGGAAGTCCAACACTTCCAAGTGCGCCCGTTCCTCGGTTGCCAGCTTGAATTGGGGGTGGCACCTGCTGTCTTCTTTGGACATGGGATCCCAAATGCCACCCATTAGAGGAATCTTGGTTTGGGGGACCTGCCTTTGCTGTTCTACGCTGACTGATTGCCAAAGCAAGCGAAGGCTGGGATTTGGTCAACTGGGCAACTGGCACAATCCGCAGCACCCAGGGCTTTAGGGATCATATATTCTTGTTGCGTGTCTCACTTTGAGAGCCACCCGCATCCCTGCAGATCCAAGGTGGCAAGACTGCTTCTATTTTGGCCATAGAGAGCCCCCACCACATTGCTATGATTTCTCAAGAGTTCTCTAGATGCCATGGGTCCCTCATGGGGATTTTCCAAAACATCCACAAGCGCATTTCTCGTTTAGCCTTGAATTGGAGGGACATGCTTATCTTATTCAAAAGGCGGATTCGCTGCTTGCTTGCCCATTTGCAGACCCAGCAAACAGGGGGGGAGTTGACAACACGGCAACCCTCTGTGAGGGCTCCTTTGAAAGGAATCACGGCATGACACGGGAGGTCCTACAAGGAATCAGCCGAAGCCTATTGCAAACAACTGCCCCCAGATTTTTTAAAAACCCCTATATCAATCTGGGACTCCCTTCCACGAGCAAGCCAGCCTTACTAAAACAATCCTTTTGCAAACTTTGAAAGGCAGAAAGGGCCTACCAATCCTATGTGGCCCTCTCCCTAAGCTGGCCGAACCTCGTCCTAAATCTCGCATCCGGAGCACTGCGGCGACGTGCAAGGGACCGGCTCCAGTCCAAACGGCCTTGTTCAGATCCGCCTCAGCTTCCGCTAGGACCTGGCGAATGACAGTCCTAATTTTTTTTGGGCGATGTGGGTCTGTGTCAAAATATCGGCATTTAATGGTGTCTTCCTTCCTTTTGGTTGCCCTTTAAAGTGTAAACCAAGGCGCGAAGGGTACCGTCAAAACCACGCCCATGTTGACCAGGCGCCTTTGAACCAGCCAGTTTGAAAAACCCAGCTGCCACTAAAGATAACGAACAAACCTATAAATACGTAAAAGCTCGGTTTTGGCCAAGGTTGAAACGGGAACTCGCCAGCGGGATTTGCGAGGTGCGACATCTTAGCTTTCTTTGACCTAAGGCTAGGTAACGTTTGCTGTCTGTCCTTGTGAGACAATTAAGGGCCTAGTAGCGTAGAATCCTTTTGCAGGGCTCTCGCTTATCCGCACTTTGTTTTGTTTTGCCAAGCCCACTTAACGCACCAGACATTCTGTGTTGGGAAACCTTTGTCCGTATCTTGTAGAACCGCCAAATGCTTGTTGCGCGTCAAGCCCAAAGTTGGGAGCAAGGGTGGAGTTGTGGGACGGTTCTCAAATTGTGGAGACAAACTCAAACGGCTAGCTCTAAGGAAGACCAGAAAGCAACCAACCATAGACACACCCAAAGCTGCTCAAAGTGGTCCTGCGTTCTAGGGGTAGCTATTCCATCCAAGATCTGCTTTAGAGGGCCACTCCAAACCCAAAGGAACCTACGGCTTGCGAAAGAAATGATGGCTGGAACGAATGGAGAGTCAACCCGGCCTGTCTCGAAATAGGGAATCCCTGTCTTGGACGGGCCTAAAGGAAACTCAAAAGGAAACCAACCACCAGGAGGGGATTGCCCCCAACTTTTGAGAAACACCCAGGGTGTGTCGTTTTTGGGGTACGTTTTGCTTTATGGTTGTAAAAGGGAAACTCACCATTTTCTGGTTCCCCCTTTTTGAGGCACACCCTTGAGAGATTGAACACCCAAGCTTGAGACACACCAAGCGCTGGCGTTTCGTCCGCCTGCACCAGCTGCAAATCTCCCATCTCCGCGGCGGTGAAAAGGGCGGTGCGCCGGTGCCGGGTGGCCGCGTCTCGATCCGCGCCATTGGCCAGGAGAAGTTGGACCACCTGGGCACATGGTTTAGCCACGTTCGTGTCCATGTGGACACGAGCAAATCGACCCCTATCTTTGAAACACCCAAGGAACTGCTGGTGCTGACAAACGACCTCCTTTGGCCTTCTTGTCAAGCGTGGGTGTGGCCGCCACTTTTAGAAGGTGCAAACCATAGATAACTGGACCAGGTTGATAGAGTGAGGCTTTTCACTAGGATCATTGCCTTATTGACTAGGATCATTCCATCCCAATAACTTGTATACGGCCACTACGTAGAAGGATGATACTCCTATTTCGGACCCCGATATCCAACGTACGAGACAGGTAATGGTGTGTTGGCCTTGGAGGTCTTGGCAGTCTCTCCTCGCCTCGATGCGTCGGTTGTCAGCCGCTGCAAAAAGCGGAGTGGCGCCTTTGAGCGTGGCCTTGTCCTCGTAACAGCTGGATTGACAAGCTCCCAGTTGACTGATTTGGTCGGAAAGGGTCCCATTTTAGAGGGAAACCCTCACCTCTGGGGGGACACCTGGCCTATTTTTGCCAGGTTGATTTATCCAGGGTTGATATTAGTTGCAGTGGCTCTGGGAAAAAGGACATTTTTGGTTGGTGATTTCCAGCCGGAAAAACAAACAACACCAACAGATTACAACAACAACCACAACAACAAGCCAAACGACACCAACGAAACAAAGAACGACAGGTCCCACTGAAGCCCTGAGTCCTTGTCAGCGCCAGCTGCCACAAGTCGCTGCAGAACACCCAGATGGCCCCGGTAAGCCGCAATGTATGTGGCAGTGGCGCCCGTGTGCGTGGCCTTGTCCTGGGAATGGGCAGACCCAAGGCAAAGCCCAGACCCACTGCTGGACAAAATCCACGTGGCAGTTGGGATGGACGAAGCCCAATGACTTTTTGTCCATCCACTGTATGCAGGTATGGCCATGATTGCAAACGGATCCCTCCGAATGGGAGTTTCGCCTATACGGCCTTGAAGGTACCTTGCTTGGGTTGGTGGAAGAAAAGGAGAACGGATAACACAGATGGGTGAGTCGTAACAATTAATGATTGTGAGGTTGCAGCCTCCCTCCATTAGGTTGTCAAACTATACTCAGACCTGTTCTGTAGATATGGGCATATCGTGATTGAGGGTTCGAAGTGCAAACACATGATACCAAGGGCAGGTGTGAAAAATGGCCGCTGGCTGGTCAGAAGGCACGTCTAGTCATTTGAAGGGGTCTTCAGCTTGACAGGCGTCGACCTCTGTTCTTGGTTAAATGCTCTTTGGATGCAAACGGAAACCGCCATGCCTTTTGAGCCCCCAGGTCCCGGTAGATTGATGCGATAACCTACTGAACAGCATGATGTATGCACCTCTTACCTCTACTTTCAATTTCATGATGCTCAATGGTGTATTGGGACCAACGGGGGTCTTCATATTGACATCACGTTGAGGTTGCTTGGCATGGAACTTTGACCACACGAATTCGCGGGCGAGGACGAAGTCTTTGCGGAGCCAATTCACTTCTTCAAACATGTATCCCTTGCCCGATGAGAAGATGTGAGTGGACGGACCAAACCTCTGATTGGTGAATCAGGGCATCTTGATAGATCCCCTCTTAACATTGCACTTGGATAAGATGGGGGCGAGGAAACAATTATCAACAACGCAATGTCTCTGAGGATGCGGCAGCCAGCCGGAAGCGTGATGCTTGTGTCTCGGCAACGGAAGCCCTTGAAGTGCACAATTTATGCTGGCAAAGCAATTAAAGACCCCCCACGTTTCAGCCATTTCCTCGCAGTAGGCATGCGATTGCTGGCACTGTGAGCAAGGTCCTTGTCCACACCAGCTTGGAGCAAAAGTTCCACGACCGCCTCGTGATTGTGGTGCGCCGCAGTCGCCAAAGGCGTCATACCATCACAGTCCTCAAGCGACTTGAGGGCTACCCGGCCGAAACGTTGACAAGCTCGTGGTGGTCGGGCCAAGTTGGATACAAGCAAGCCACGCCCTTGACTGATCAAAAGTACTTGGCAATCTCCTCTTCCAGGACAACTTCAAGACACAAGGACTCGACTTCCTACCATCCCCATCCTCCGCTCTCTTCACCCCCAACCCCGAACCACTTCCCATCCTCCGCCACCTGCCAAACTCCTCTGGCTGAAAAATACGATGGGACCCAAGCAACTCGGATGATTTCGCGGCATCACTTTCTGAGAAGGGGCATCAAGTTGGTCTTTCTCAGCTTCCATATGGAATTCGCCAACAGGCCGCTTGTTGGAGTTGTATGGCCCTGTTGGAGTTTCATGACTTGTATGTGCTTGGAAAGTCCGCTGGTTGGTTTGCACGGTCGTTTGTCGTTGAATGCCAGTCTAAGCTGCTGACGGGAGAACTGTTGAAGACTTCCTTCCTCCTGGGGAAGGCCCCGGATTCATCACCAAAACGCGTCAAACCATGACCTTTTTGAGGAGACCAACATGAAGCCCTCCTTGACGGGGTGCAACTATGCTGCTTATTTCCGTTCCAAGTCGCTGTGAGGTTGAAGTCCGCCAAGGCTTGCTGCAAGAGCTTCAGCACCGCGACGTGCCCTGCCTGGGGGACTCAGCCAGCCCCCGCCATTTCCAAGTCAAAAGTCGCACCCGGGAAACAACCCCATTTACTGACTTTGATAACCCCCAGAAGCCGTCAAAATAATGACCGGCCACCTTGAAATCTACGGTCTACGGGCAGTTTGCGGCCCGTGCAGGCCCTAGAGCCAGACCCTTATGTTGGCACTCGCCTGGCGGTTGTGGTTGGGCAATTGAATAGCAGATCTGAGGTGCTCAACACCACTGCAGTAGGAGCCTCCTACCCCCAAACACTATGATCAAAGTCAGAAGGTCCTGTGCCCGGCGACCCTGCATGTAGCTTGAAGGGACCCTACCGAAGTCTGTGTCCAGTGTGAGGGTTATTTAAGGAATCATGACATGAGCAAGGTTACTTCATGTGTTGCATGGCGTCCTTCCGCCTGCCACAGCTACCACCCTCTCAAGTCTCGCATTTCCCTATCGCAGGCAAAGAAAACACAAACACCAGGTCATGCAACCTTGTTGAGGAGCATATTCCTGGCGCGTTATGAGGTAGGAATGAAAGACCCTGGTATCACAGTGTAGGCCTTCCACGGCGCCTTCGGGGCGCAGAGAAACGTGTCCCGCCTTGCACGCCCTGACAGCTGCCGTGCCGCCGGCGTCCTGGAAGAGCACAGGTCGATTGTGAATCTGCGGAATGGCTCGAGCAGTGGGTGAGGACCGAAACTTCACCCCTACAATGCCACAAGGCCGACGAAGCCATGTCATCCATCATATACACACTAAGCCTCACCAGCCTATTCCAAGCGATGGTGCCGAAAGTGGGTGGCATATGATGCCGCTGTCCTGAACATCGGGATCTTGCAGCTGCTGAAGGAAGTCGCGAACCTTGCGCTCACGCAGGAGTAAATGTCAAGCAAGTTCATCATGAGGGGTCTGCCACCAAAACTACGTTACCGTCACTTACAACACATCTGTTGGGAGCGGAGGGGCCTGGGCCATGACACCTTGCAGGGACATTGATGATGGCATTCGTGCCCTTAACAAAAACAGACTAAAAAGGAGGTCTAAAAGGTTGAATTGGGAAGGGCAAGCTGGCTTGCAAGCGGAGCGTGCCTCATTTGGCTGACTCACTGAGGACATTTGCCCCGCCTGATCTGCTCTGCCGCCAATGGCTGCTGCAAAGAGGGGGCCTGAGCGTGAGTGGTGGGAGAAGTGCCCAAACGGATATGACTTCTTGTGCCTCTCCCTGAAACCAGCCCCAAATGGGAGTTTCTAGCAAAGAGCATCCCTCTTCTCAGTCGGGATCCAGATCAGCTTCTTTGGGTGCCTGTCCAGGTTTAAATTGTCCAGGCTTTGCATCGCCCCACTTCCTTTCAACCCTCTCCCTTTTCCAGATCACAGGTGGTTGATTGGTGTAGAACCTGCCGGGGGTTGGCTAGTGGTAGGGTTTTTCCCTCTCCCCCTGCAACGAAAATACACCATAGGGGCCTAGCATTGGAGAAACCTGTCTGAGAGGATTCCGACCATAAATTTCCCACTTCTATGATGCGGAACATAGTCAGTGTTAGTTCCCAACAATTCCAAACTGTATCCCAGGCATTCGTCCACTTTCTTCTGGTAAAGTCGTTGCGTTCCGAACAGCTCAACTGCATAGGGAAAGTAGGCAGTGAAATGCATCGAGGCATGCATTGTGAAAGTGCACAGTGAAATCGTAGGTGCTATGCATAGAGGCATGCATAGGGCAAGTGCTGAGGCAAGTACATAGAATCATGCGGAGGGAAAGTAGGCTGTGGAATGCGCCGAGGCATGCGCAGGGAAAGAAGACAGTGAAATGCATAGAGGCATGCATAGGGCAAGTACTGAGGCAAGTGCATAGATGCATGCAGGAGGGCAGGCAGTGACATGCATAGAGGCATGCACAAGGAAAGTAGGCAGTGAAATGTATAGAGGCATGCGCAGGGAAAGTAGACAGTGGAATCCATTGAGGCATGCGCAGGAAAAGTAGGCAATCAAATGTATAAAGGCATGCATAGAGACAGTACACAGTGAAATGCATAGATGCATGTGCAGGAAAAGTAGGCAATCAAATGTATAGAGGCATGCATAGAGACAGTACACAGTGAAATGCATAGATGCATGTGCAGTGAAATACAGACAGGCATGCATAGGGCAAGTACAGAGTGATGCACAGGGAAAGAAGACAGTGCAAGGCATAGAGGTATGCACAGGGAAAGTAGGCAGCGAAATGCATAGAGGCATGCGCAGGGAAAGTAGACAGTGAAGTGCATAGCGGCATGCACAAGGAAAGTAGGCAGTGAAATGTATAGAGGCATGCGCAGGGAAAGTAGACAGTGAAATGCATAGAGGCATGCATAGGGCAAGTACAGAGTGAAGTGCAGAGATGCATGCACAGGGCAAGTAGACAGTGAAATGCGAAGAGGCAGGCGAAACGAAAGTCGACAGTGAAATGCATAGAGGCATGCATAGAACAAGTACAGACGGAAGCGCATAAATGCATGCGCAAGGAAAGTAGACAGTGAAATGCACAGAGGTATGCACAGGGAAAGTAGTCAGTAAAACGCATAGAGGCATGCGCAGAGTGAAGTGCATAGATGCATGCACAGGGAAAGTAGACAGTGAAGTGCATAGCGGCATGCGCAAGAATAGTAGACAGTGAAATGCATGGAGGCATGCATAGGGCAAGTACAGAGTGAGGTGCATAGATGCATGCACAGGGAAAGTAGACAGTGAAATGCATAGAGGTATGCGCAGGGAAAGCAGACAGCGACATGGATGGAGCAAAGTAGACAGTGAAATGCATGGAGGCAGGCGCAAAGAAAGTAGACAGTTAAATGCATAGAGGCATGCGTAGGGCAAGTACAGAGAGTGAGGTGCATAGATGCATGCACAGGGAAAGTAGACAGTGAAGTGCATAGCGGCATGCGCAAGGAAAGTAGACAGTGAAATGCATGGAGGCATGCGTAGGGCAAGTACAGAGTGAGGTGCATAGATGCATGCACAGGGAAAGTAGACAGTGAAATGCATAGAGGTATGCGCAGGGAAAGCAGACAGCGACATGCATGGAGGAAAGTAGACAGTGAAATGCATGGAGGCAGGCGCAAAGAAAGTAGACAGTTAAATGCATGGAGGCATGCATAGGGCAAGTACAGAGTGAGGTGCATAGATGCATTCACAGGGAAAGTAGACAGTGAAATGCATAGAGGTAGGCGCAGGGAAAGCAGACAGCGAAATGCATTGAGGAAAGTAGACAGTGAAATGCATGGAGGCAGGCGCAATGAAAGTAGACAGTTAAATGCATAGAGGCATGCATAGGGCAAGTACAGAGTGAGGTGCATAGATGCATGCACAGGGAAAGTAGACAGTGAAATGCATAGAGGTATGCGCAGGGAAAGCAGACAGCGACATGCATGGAGGAAAGTAGACAGTGAAATGCATGGAGGCAGGCGCAAAGAAAGTAGACAGTTAAATGCATGGAGGCATGCATAGGGCAAGTACAGAGTGAGGCGCATAGATGCATGCACAGGGAAAGCAGACAGCGAAATGCATGGAGGAAAGAAGACAGTGAAATGCATGGAGGCAGGCGCAAAGAAAGTAGACAGTTAAATGCATAGAGGCATGCATAGAGACAGTACACAGTGAAATGCATAGATGCATGTGCAGGGAAAGTAGACAGTGAAATGCATAGAGGTAGGCGCAGGGAAAGCAGACAGCGAAATGCATGGAGGAAAGTAGACAGTGAAATGCGTGGAGGCAGGCGCAAAGAAAGTAGACAGTTAAATGCATAGAGGCATGCATAGGGCAAGTACAGAGTGAAGTGCAGAGATGCATGCACAGGGAAAGTAGACAGTGAAATGCATGGAGGCATGCATAGGGCAAGTACAGAGTGAGGTGCATAGATCCATGCACAGGGAAAGTAGACAGTGAAATGCATAGAGGTATGCGCAGGGAAAGCAGACAGCGAAATGCATGGAGGAAAGTAGACAGTGAAATGCATGGAGGCAGGCGCAAAGAAAGTAGACAGTTAAATGCATGGAGGCATGCATAGGGCAAGTACAGAGTGAGGTGCATAGATGCATGCACGGCGCAGGGAAAGCAGACAGCGAAATGCATGGAGGAAAGTAGACAGTGAAATGCATGGAGGCAGGCGCAAAGAAAGTAGACAGTTACAGAGTGAGGTGCATAGATGCATGCACAGGGAAAGTAGACAGTGAAATGCATAGAGGTATGCGCAGGGAAAGCAGACAGCGAAATGCATGGAGGAAAGTAGACAGTGAAATGCATGGAGGCAGGCGCAAAGAAAGTAGACAGTTAAATGCATAGAGGCATGCATAGGGCAAGTACAGAGTGAGGTGCATAGATGCATGCACAGGGAAAGTAGACAGTGAAATGCATAGAGGTATGCGCAGGGAAAGCAGACAGCGAAATGCATGGAGGAAAGTAGACAGTGAAATGCGTGGAGGCAGGCGCAAAGAAAGTAGACAGTTAAATGCATAGAGGCATGCATAGGGCAAGTACAGAGTGAAGTGCAGAGATGCATGCACAGGGAAAGTAGACAGTGAAATGCGAAGAGGCATGCGCAAGGAAAGTAGACAGTGAAATGCATAGAGAGTAGACAGTGAAATGCGTAGGTGGATTCAGGCTGCGTGTCATGGAAAATGCTTTCGGGCCACTCGTCTTCTAGTTTGCTTGGTTGATTTTGACAAAGAGGAAACCAAAGGAACCCGTCACCGGACATCCGGCATCTCCGGGTCTCAAAGCCAGCTCCGGGCCTTGGAACCGGTTCGCCAGGGTGGACAAGGTGAGGTGCACCACCTCTGGCCGGCCCAGGTCCTGGAAAGGTCAAGGGCGGGTGCATTTCGGGGAGGTTGGCACCCCATTTTTGGGAGTTTGGCACCCAGTATTGGCTTGAGCTTGGGTGCCAAAGGGTTTCGGAAAGCTCCGACGCAAGAGACACTTTCCTTTCTTGGAGTGGGCGCCCAAAAGCCTTTGTCCAACAATCATGGAAGTGGGTGAGCACCTTTTTCAGATGGCAGTCCCTTTATTGAGATGGGGAACTTGCCCTGGCTCAAAATGGAAGAACTGGTGGAGTTTGGTTTCACGTCCCGTCCTTAAAGGGGCCGCCGCATGGGCGATGGAACGGATTGACCCTTTTCCAGCTTCCCAAAGTGACACTTGCGCGGCATAAAGGGCAAATTTTGGGGAACACCCCCCATATGTCCTCCCAGGATTCGCCTTGTGAGAGAATGTGCTCGCCAAGCAACAGCGACCTTGGACGCAAGGATTATAAGGCTGTGGCCTGGAAGGCAACTTTGCAACTTTGCTACTTCCTTTCTTACTGAGGCCTTTGCCACGGAACCAAGCCAAGGCCGTCAAACCAAAAAACATTAGTTTTGGACGCTTGGCCAACTCGTTCGAACACCGCAGGTTCCTGGCTGAACTATGCTGAACTAAAGTCATGCAATACCTGCAAATGTGTCATGCAACCAATGCACTCTCAAACGGCAAATCAATCCTTGCATTTGATTGATAGGTGAATCCCACATGTTATTTCTGAGCTGCGCGTATACTGAACACAGCACCCTCAAAATGTGAACATTGAGGTTCTAGATTCCGCTGCGCTCGACCCATGGCAGTCTTCCATGATTCACATTTTGTGCTCTTGGAATGCCTGGCGTCATGTGAACAGAGCAGACAGGTTGAGCCAACCTTCGGACATATCCCATCATCACGTCATATGTGCCGTGCCTTGCTACAACGACAGGGTCACCGACCACCAGCAACAGCAAAGTGATGTGCTTGATGGATCGATGCTCTGCCACCCGAACTGCGAGCTTGTCACGTCATAGCTGGGCAGATTTCATGCTTAAGCCTAGCTCAAGCTTTTTGGGTTCATGATCTTGAAGCTGACTACAGTTCGGGAATGTTTCTGCCTCGCAGACCTTATCCACAAAGCTGCGCTCGTGTTCAGCCATTGCGTGCCATGGGGCCGCAAGAAATCACCCCCACACACGGACCTCTTCTGATTTGCTTCGCAGCTTCTGGTCCTAGGAAACTCATTTACTGTCAGCACCAGAGGAATTGAATAGCACGCAAAGCACCGCAGAACTCAGGCAGCAGAACTCAGCAGTCCCCGGGCGCCTTTTGTGACCCTTTTACACATTACCCCACCAAGAGGAAATTCTAACCAACATTTGCCACACAAAGGTGAGGCTTAAACCCGCCCAACACGTCAAGTGTCGGGACCCCCAGAGTCACCCAGTGGATGCTCTTGCCGAGCCGCTGTCGGAAAATAGATATGCCGCTAGCCAGTTGCAGCTGTTGCTTCAGGAAGTTGCACAGGCCCTCAGACTCTGCACGAACATGACAAAGTAGGCCATCCCACTGGCTTGGCATCCCAGAACGTGTTTTTGACAGCAAACTGAAGGAAAGAGTCTTCATGCGCAAACTTGGGCTTCCATGATTGGCACGACACCTTTCTGTGACCTTGTGGGTTCGTAACAAAAATGTACACTGACCATACTCTCCGATGAACCTCCTGAAGCCCAACCTGAACTCAAGACATGTGCCCGATTCCAAAAGAGCTTCCTTCACAAGTGAGCTTTCTCTTGCGCGCCTTTTGCTTGGTTGCAGGAAAGCAGGTAATCTCAACACAAGTTCCGTAAACAGCTTGTTCCGAATGGCGGAGCTCCAGCTGCTTTTGTCCTGAGAATGGAAACAGCTCATCCATGCAAAAGGTCCCTTGGTCGGACCTCTCATTTGCATTGGCCTTAGATCAGCTGATGAACAAGATATTCTCAAACAGGGGTGAGTGCATGACGTTCTTGACCCGTCAACTTGATTGACCTTGCAATGTGTGGGCCCCACTAAAATAAAGAGGGTCCAAAATCCAAAAGCACACCAGCGAAACAACACCCATTTCACTTTTAGGAGCCCGAACTAACATAGGTGCCACAAGGTCTGGGGAAACACCTGCGGCAAGTCTATTTATTCCCCCACGAGGACATGGGACAACTGGTGAGTCCTCTGGTTTTTGTGGGAAGCTTGGTAATCCCCCCATGTCCCTTTTGAAACGGAGCATGGACTGCACATTTTGACCAAGCCTCGCATTCTGAGAACCCCAAATCACATCCTTTACGAACCCGGCGGCGACCCGTCCAAGCTGCACCGGCCAAATGCAGCAGCTCATCCTCTGCGAGCTGCAGGACTTCCTCCCCAGCCAGGTTCAGCACCTGAAGCCTCAGCCGAAAACGTACCCCTGCCACCGTCTGCGTTCGATCTCCCTCTTTCCTTGGACAAGTCAACAGAAGAACCCAGTAGCCTCATGGCACAGTGTTCATACTGGGTGAGGACATGGACAACATGTTTCCTGGATCTCAGGGTTTGCCCGGCCTCGTTTTCGGCTTTCTCGAGCCCATGCACCAGTGGTTGTTGCAGTAGTTGCACCCTTCAAAACCACGAGACTGAACGTCCTACACATCAACCCACGTTTGCAGGGGTCACAACTCAGGCGTGAGGTACCCGCTAATTACCTATAAAACAAAGGCAGGACACACCCAAATATTCGTCCATTTTCAGCCGTCTAAGTGCAACTGCCACGGCTTAAAAATCCGCCGAGGCGCTTGTTGGAGTCGGGCGGCATTATGCTGTTGGCCAATTCCGAAATGTATTTGCCGTGACCTCTTGTCGTCTGCTTTCTGGTTGGCCTACACTTGCTGGTTGGCCTACGCAATCAAACATGGCACGAGATCCTTCAATTTGGAATTGGAGGGCAATTCCAAACATTCGAGTGGCCGCATGCCCTTCCTGCACTCAGTTAGACTGTTCCTTAAACAAGACGGGCCTTCGATGTCAAGCTCGAGCTTTTTTTTACTCGAGCCTGATGTCTGCGTGATGCTGGCCTCAGCCTATGGAAGCCGGCTCGACCTTTCTGTCATGTGCCCCGACCCTTGCCCAAGGCGAACCCCCAAATTATCCATTCTCGTTTTGGTCAGCCCTCACAGTTCGGCGCTGAGCACCGTGAAGACTGACCATGCCAACTTCAAACACAAACCAGTGGCTCAGCGAGGCAGTGCTGTCTGTGCCCCATGTTGTCCTCATGTTTGCATATGATGCCTCCAATATCCTAGCCCGAGCAATCATGGGAACGATCAACCTCCACGCCAGCACGCATGGAACCTGAGGTTCCCAATATGCCCAGTTTACGGTCAGAAAACTGGCACCTTGGGCCTTTGCCAAAACCAAGCAAAATCCGATGAACACTTTTCCATTGACCATCCAACAGGCGAGAACAATACTCCTCACCTCTGCCAACGTAACATGGTGTTCATCCTGAAATCGGGGATCCCTTGTGGATTTGAAGGGGTTCCAGCAGACAAAAAATAACAACCTTCTATTTCAGTAGCTCCCCAAAATGAGGGCACCATCTGCCAGCTGCATTCTTGGCTTTCAGGGCGTCCGGATGCCAGGGAGAGGTGGACCTCATCTGCTCGCACGAAGTTGTGACTCTCGCCCTGGATGACCTGAAGCATCGCTCATAGCCTGCCCGAGCCTCTTCCATGACAACATTCTAAGAAATTGGATGGATAAGCATGCGCATAGGTATACATGCATGCATGCACATGTTACATATGTACATATGTACTATGTAATGTTTCCTGCTTGGTTGTACTTGGTTCCTTTGTAAAGGTACGTCTCTGTGGTGTGCATCCATGCAGATGTGCTAGATGCTCAAGGGCTGCACTGAATTCCCTTGGGATGGGTGTATTTGTACTAGCCTGTTGTCGTGCGAGTGGCACCCATGCTGAACGAACAACACATTTGGTGAACACAGTGGGTCACCATCAAATATAGAACAAACTCATGTGAGGTGAGGGCCCGCCAGACCCCAAAGCTGTTCACATGTGGGAAACCGCCACCATAAACAAATGATGGCCACATTCCGGCCCCTTGCTTGTCAGCTGGGGCGAAGATAACTTAAGATGTGATATTACCAAATGTTGACCAGGCAAGCCACAAACTGAACACATTGAGGACATGTCAGCTGTGTCAGAACCAAAACGGCCTTTGCAAAACTCGCCAATCAGGCCCAAAGTCTCACTTTTTGAATCTAAGAAGGCAACGAACCAGTCACCCAAAGGACGTGGAACCAAGCCCCAAAGGCCTGACTAGATGAGTGGACCCCCCAAAACTGCCGCCGTTTGGCAACCCTCAAAATGGGCGGTCACTACTTTGTTCAACGCAGGCTTCAGGCTGATGCCTCGAAAAGCGTCAAGCAAACGAGAGCACAACCTGACCAAACGTGTCTGGGTGGGGGCGCTCAAGTATGAAGGCAAGCCAATGCTCCTGACTTGTGCGCGGATGACCGTGGGCTCCAACACGCCCTCGACCGAAATTTAGCTGGCTGCATTCAATTTTCAAGGACATTTAATGCTCTGCGCTTTTGACCACCAACAAACGGACAGTGATCTGTCTACTTTAGGTCCCATTTTGGACGTCGCTGGCCCACTTGGACAGCTTGCTTGCGGGCCGCAACTAGACCTTCGCAGGCTGGGGCCTCCCGCATCGTGGATGAGCTTCTCGTATGCTTCAGGTAGGCGCCCCACCTAGCAACTCTGGGAAGGTCCAGGGTGTCACGAGTGGGCCTCTGGGGCAAGGCTGTTGCCAACAACTAAAGCAAAGGAGGTGCCACTGGACAATGGGCTTGCCTAGAATTGCTTTTAGAAATGTTTGAAGAGGCCCCTTTATTTGCCAATGATGTCATCAAATGAACTGTGCTACTGGCAAGCAAGTGGGACCCTTTCGTATTTCCGTTGCGAGTGTCTTGTTCCGACTTTCCTTTTCAGCGCCTTCAAAGGGGCACAAAGGGAATAAGGGGTGCCCGCAACAACCAGCCCAAGGCATGCCGAGTTGGTGGCTAGTTGGGCAAAACAGCCCGGGTTCTGACAGATCCACTTACGCAAATGGAGCCTGATAGCTTGGCCTGCTTAGGTTCCAGCAAAGGGCTCGGGAGGAAGCTGATTCTCCCACACATGGAACGCCAAACTCGGCGTCAAAGTGCCTCTCCCCGAAAAAGTTGTGCCTGCCTCGTCCTTGCGCAGGTCGAGGTCCAATATCGTGCCTCGTTGCTTTCGGGTGGAATTGGCTTGTGTACCCAAGCAACACCTTGCCTCAGCTGCGGCCACCTGACAACGATTAGTGTTGCCTTCATGCCTTTACATGATAGACTCTCCATTGAAGCGTTGCACGTTGCATGGCTTCGCGGAACGGCTATACAAATCCAAAAGGTGGATAGCTATTCCAATTACGCACATAGCCAGGCAGCAGCCCATGCACGATCTCCTCAAGTTTCCCGCAAGTGGGATTAATCGCAGGTGATGCCGGAATTGCTCTATTCATGATAGGGGTAGGACCTCTCCTAAATGCAAAATCAAGCATATTCATTATGTTGCCTCAGCTCAGCTCGCGCTTAGCCACCTTTAAGTGCCAGTTTCACGTGAATCTCTACTTTTCCCCTCGACATTTTGGGGGCATGGGTGAAAAGGCGAGGCCGTGTTGCCGAGCCCAAGGGGCAACCCACTTGAAAGGAAACAAATGCCGGGGGCTGTGCGTCCGGTTCCATGAAAGGCTGGCGACTGCCATACGGAAGCTGACAGGTGCCTAAATGCTAGGCCGACGCCAAATGATAGTGACTTAATGGATGTCACTCACGGAGGTTAGAAACACTAGTGCCAGTAGCACGAGTCACAGAACTTGCCCGGCAGTTGCGACGGGTCAGCCACGCATGGATCAAATCCTTTTGGCTACGCTTGGCGGCTTCAAAGCCCGCAGGCACATTCTGGCCCGGCTACATAACAGCCGCCAGCAGGGGGCGTTCCCCTGCCCTCTGCGCCACGCGTGCTGTGGCAACAGGCGGAAGGCGGGAGGGCTGTTGAAGAACAATCAGGTCAAAACGCTTCATGAGGGCAGCCTTGCCTATGGTTTTTCAGTTGTCCTGAAACCCAAGCATTCTCGGAATCGCTGAGACTTTGACATCGTCCGAAGCGAGAACAATGCGTGTAACCAAGGTTCGGGAGACAACTGGCAATTCACCAGCCACTGCAACGATTTAAACCTTTTCATTCACTGATTGCGTCTCATGTGCCTGACAAAGCCGGCCAAATGTCCGGTTGTTGGACAACTCCCCACCACCACTTCATGCCTCAGCTCTGCATTGCGGGCGCAGCCGCGGCTGGGCTCCGGGGGAAAAAGCTACGTGTTCAAAGTTGCCTGGCGGCCTTGGGACCGTTTTTGCTTTTGTTTTTCCAGGGCAATACACCCGAGTGCTTGGTATGGGTGAGTTCATGGCTGAAAGAGCCTGAGAGGCGTCCCCAGCTGCTCGTCGGCAACCAGGGTCTCCCAACAACGCCCGAGGCCGCTGCAGGTTCCAAAAGGGTTGGGCTTCGAAAGTGGTTTTTTCTCCGAGAGGTCGGCTCGCCGACAGCTCAGGGGCTTTGAGTCTAGGCTTCTGCTTTGCGATTTGCGTTACTCCGAGCAGTCAGGGGTCTTATGAAATCGGAGGCTGTACCGCAGGGTTTCCCTGCTAAACTTCCTGTTGCAGGAAGGCAGAGGCTGGCCACCTTGGTAGTACTCTCCCGAGCCACACTGAACGTCTATGGTAAGAGTGCTCAACTGCGACATCCCTAGCAGGGGGAACAAAGAATATGACCTAGCATTTGACTAGACAAACGTAGAGGCAAGTAATATGCAACGTGCGAGATTGAAATTACATCGTCAAGACTTGTCTAAACAGGCTGCCCAGAGGTTTTCCCTCTGAGGCCTTTGCTACGATGGCTTTGCTATATCAAGTTTCCCACAACCGTGCGGTAGTTCAACCCGATTAGAAACAATGCGTCTCATTTGCCAAGGATTCAACATCGCCCGACAGACCGGGAAACGTAAATCTGGTTGCGAAGCATCTCAATGCTAACTCAACAGGGAAGCCTGGATCAGTGTGAGCTGTTTGCTGGCGAACAGGGGTGATCCCATCTTGTGGCTCGCGAGCTCGCGACATGGCGTTAAGAGAAAGCCGAATGCATTCGCAGGCCTTCACCTCCGGGAAACCTGGGCAAAGAACGTCTGCCAAAGTGTGAAACATCCAACACAACCAGGCAACCATCCCAAGCCATTTGGGCTGCATACAAGTTTCATTTTTCATCCGGCTCCCCGAGGTCTGGCAAAGAACAAGCGAGATCAGAAGTCCAGCAGGTCCGTGGTCTTGGCAGGTGCCGGAGCCGAATCGCCTGAGGGCACCGGGAAGCTAAGGGACGTACTTCAAGGACGAGAGTGGTGAGCCGACTGCCGTTAAAGAATGCAAGTACAAATCGATTTTCCTTTGGAGGTTGTCGTGTCATTTTGGCGTTAAACAGGAGGACGAACCAGTACTGGGGATTGTCTGTAGGACACGCCCTCATGCTTATTCCGTAGCTGGTCTTGCGCCAACTAGATCTTCAGCAAAAAAGCAGGCACAGGCTTTGCCTACCTAAACGTTACACCAGCTACACGGAACACGGAAGGAGAACTACAGCAGCTTTGCGCTGAAGACAGCGTATGTTCCTCGGTGCTTATGTTGATCCCTTAAGCGAGAACCCATTCTTCCAAAGAACCGCTCGATGCATCCGACGGCTTTACATCAGGGTTGGCATTCACCAGGCTTGGCTCAAGTTGGCCAACCTCTTCTGCACCCTGCCAAGCCCTGCAACCCAGCGGCCCAGCAGGTCGACCTAGGCGAGGCCCGTGCCAAATCTCCGAAGAAAGTTGGTTACACACAATGCCCAACGCAGCTCCTCCAGAAAGCGCGCGCTCCAACTGAACTCTAAGGGCCTAACCGCATATCCCTGGGTAGTTCCCTAGTTGTCATGCACCATTTCTGTACTCAGTATGTATTTTGTGACCACTCAGTCTGTGGGGGTGAACTCATGCTTGACACTGCCGGACCTCTCAAGAACGACATGATTATCCGCTGAGACGAAAAGCTGAAGTACATGTTCTTTGTTCATATGCTCTGACCCGCTGCTTGCCAACCCACTTCAAAATGGCCGCACACACGCACACGCACACACACACACATATATATATATATATATATGTTTATACGTACACATAACTGGGTCATTTTGTCCAACAGCTATGTAATAAAGGCATGTGCAAAAACCAAAAGAGTGGAATCTTGTCACCCTAGCCACGCGGGATGGAGAGCAATAGTGCCCTACGCAAGTACTTAAGGAGCACATCACAGGATCCTGCTTACAAGCATGCTCCCGAAGAACTCGCCACGGGGGGTCTGGGGAAAGCTGACATGAAAAGAACTCCTAGCTGCCTGTCGCTTGAGATCAACAAGGAAAGCACGATCCTGGCTCAATTTTGGTCCACTTTCTGGTTTGAGCTTTCGCGTCCTGGACGTGCCTGCAATTTGGCACACTTCTGACAATGGGATTTGCTTCCGGGTGCGGAGGGCGAACATGCATCCTGGCCTTGGCGCCCTGGACTCAAA